AAAATATAAGAAAAAATTAATACCAACACAAGCTTATTTCTGCTGAATTAAATTTTCTCCTGTATGTCAACTCACATCCCGTGCTGGTTCACATGATATATGAAATATATGCTAAGTTTATCTCGCGAAAGATATACACGTATATCTCTAATGGCAATTCGTGATCGATTACATTAACAGATTTTTGTTCGACAATTACTGTCATAATTTTGTTGTAGCAATTCCTAAGACTGGTAACGTAGCCATGCAGCAATTGTGGAGGGACAATTTAAAAATTTGTTCGTTACCCGAAATCTTTTCGGTTTCGTCCTGTAAATTATCTCTCCGGAAACTATATCACCATCTTCTAACCTTTAGTCCGGAGGCAACGATGTAATTTCCGGAAAGTTAGAACGAAACCAAGAAAATTTCGAGTAACGGGCAAAATTTTAATTTATTTCAGAACAGCAACCCCTAAAATTCCAGGCAGAGCTGAGCCGGCATCAAGCAACATATCTATGGCCAAATTATCAGCTGGCATTTTTATTTAATGAATGGGTCACGATTTCATTAGTAAAGTTTGAGTAACCGTAGGCAAAATTCGTTATTACAACTGTTTTAATAAATTCTGAGACACTGCTCTTTTCCCAAAACCTCTTCGATATCGCATTAACTTTTCGGAAAATATGTCGTTGTATTCGAAACATAGACCGGAGACAGTGATGCAGTTTCCGAAAAGGTTTATTATTAGAACAAGATCAAAGAGGTTCGGGACAAAAGTAAATTTTTAGGTCCCCAAAACAGCTGTAATTCCGGACAAACCGACAACGATTCCGGTGAATTCCGATACGGAATTCTGATGTTCTTTTTTTTATGAATTTTTAGGAAACAAGCATTAAGTAACGAATAACGATCGAGCTGCAAGTGAAACCAAATGTAGGTAGGCTCAGTTGATAAGTTCACATGCCTAAAACCCGCATATATAAATGTGTGTGTGATAATTAAGAAAATCTATTATTGTCACGGGGTTAATTATTATCCTCGTCTGCATCGTTGAAGAGTGATTTAACATCATTACAATGCTTCACAAATTGCGTATTGTCTAATAAAAATGGTAGGATGGCATAAATAGATTTTAATATAACGATAATAAGACCCACGATCCTGTGACTTTACGGAACAAAAGCTAATTGGCTTTTCATAGGTGTCATATGAACGTACGATCTACGCTTTAATTGTCGAAATAACAGAGATATAAATGATAACGGAACGACAAAAATAGCCGGTCCATAAAAGGTATGTGATATGAACAAGAATATATCGCAAGGGGAATTTGGAACTACATTCAGATATACATCATACGGTTTCACACTTAATAAAATCATGTAGCATTGATACATGAGCTAAAATTGCCACCTGAAACGAAGAAATCTCTATGAAAAGCAGATTTATTCACTCACTTTTGTAATCGAAAAATAGGTTTTAAAAGGAGTTTAGCCAACTGAGATTCCGATGATAATCACGTACAGTATAAAATAACTGTATAACAGTATAAATAGCATACACTTTGATTCCCATGAAAAAAAATTACGTAAAAAAAAAACTATCCTAAAATATCATTTGTTTGTCCCGATTCTTTATGCATAAAGGCATCGAAATGAAAAATCAAAGCCACCAAAAGAACTATAGTAATTTCTTTCTTTGCGTGGAAAAGATTCTTTTTTACATACATCTAGAATTAGAAGTTCACCCATTCACCTTTCCATATTTCGACCTTATTGCACATTTAACCGTATTTCTCCGAAGATTTCAATAAGGGATGAAATGGAAAATAGTTGATGTATGGTAAAAAAAAAGATCCTATTACTTCTTAAGCATAACTCACGTGATTATACTTTAGTGTCAAAGATTGTTGTGCAACACTTAATTACCCGCTCAATCTATAAATTACCCGAATTACGTAAATGAGAAGCACAGAGCACAGTTAAGGTTATCGCAAACTTGTGCTACACTAATTTCAGTCAGATCGGTATATAAACCTGCATTCAGTAAGATCGTAAGCATTTTTCGCCCTTTCCATCTTATGAAAATGTCCAAATATTTACCGGTAGATTGTCTTGTAAAAATCTTTGCAAATTTTGATGAGGATGCCAACACGTTGCATTCTTGCACCCTCGTTAACACTCAGTGGTGTGAAAGCGCGGTGGTGATCCTATGGAGTAAACCATTTCGATTTTTACATACATTTAAAGATAAAAAAACCTGCTTACCATGGTCAGAAAGGGCGGCCAGTCTTCTTAGAGTATATATGTCATGCCTCCAAGATCAAGAAACATGTAACTGTCAACCCTATAAATTACCCATTTTTAACTACATTCAATTCTTAAAATCCTTAGATATCAGCGAATTTTCAGAAGCTGTGTTGGGATATTTACAGAAGGAACAAGGTAAACTTATACATCAACCAACCTCCTCTCATACCAAATTACATTCCTTCAACATGAGCGTTTTTGGACAAACAGTAATAAAACCTCAGCGTATGGGGTGTAGGAGGACCATGGCTTCCACTTCAATAAATGGGTGTGACGCCACTGTCGCATATTTGCTCAACACAGATATTCTCGGAAAACTATTAATGAATCATTCCGTAATCATTAAGACTTTGCGTGTTACTTACCAAAAATCGTGCGCAATAGAGCCTCATTTATGGTTTCATACACTCCTTCCAAATACCAATCATCGACTCTCTCAACTATCCAGTTTGATCTGCACGACTCCATGTCACGCGCAATTATTTCATACACTTTCCAAATTTGCTGTCCATTTACGAAAGATAAAAATTTGGATGGACATTCCACCCGCACTAGTTAATCCCAAAAATTTATTGAAACACGGAATCGAGAGTCTCAATGCGCAAGTTGAAGGTATCACCGCATTGATCAGGTCTCAACAAGAATTAAAAGAATTTGAACTTGGATATACCGAAATAGGATTAAGTGATATCATTTCCGCATTAATCACCCAGGCAAATTCTTTACGGAGTATAATATTTTTCAAAGTTAATTTCAAGAATTGGAGACCACTTATTAGGTTGGTTGAATTTGTGAATTTAGAAGAACTTTTACTAAATTCATGCTATTATTTGCCAACTTGTGCTGCAAGTTTATCAACTGGTATTGAAGATATGACGGATGTTCATGAATTTGAGTCTAAGATTGAAAAACTAGAAATTTCATCTGCGCCATGCGGAGCAATTGAATCTATTTTGCGTAGAGCAAATGTTGGTTTAAAAGAATTGGTCATTTCCAATATTTCCATACCACCTTCTACACTTAATACATCAATTTCTCCGGGGTCAACGTCATCTCTTCAACAACAGCAACAGCAAACGGTAGCGACTACACTTCCACCCAATCAAGTTTTACAGACCATCTCACAATATTGTCCGAACTTAACATTGGCAAAAATTTACGTTGATGCCAATTCATTACCATATTTACATACACTCTTTTTTTCATGTCCAAAAATACGAACTCTAACAATATTTGGACCACGACATCCTGAAATAAATGTAAATAATGTACTTCGAAAATCGAGTTTAGTTAATTTAAATTATTTGGAAAATTTATCCATACATTCATGTTGGACATACACACCTGAAAGTTTAGATTTATTTTTAAGTAATCCTACATTAAAGTTGAAAAAATTGGAAATTTTATGGAGCGGGTGTTTTGGAAACGAACATTTAGACGTTGTTTTGAAAAGATTATGTTTAAGAGGGAATGACATGAGAAGAGAGAGTGGGGAAGGTATAATGCGCGGGGTAGATCGGCAGAGAACTAGAGGCAGTCTAATTGTCAAAAGAAATAATGGATTGGAATTATTACATATACAAACACAACAAATATTAAAATATGAAAGAACCGAAATTAAAAAATTAATTAAAAACTTTAAGGTTGGTAAATGGTAGCGACAACCATAATTGTATAATATCGATAATTTAAAGATCACATGTAGATAATTGTTAGAATTGCTAGATATAAAGTTTGTTTCTCGAATTTATTTTATTCATTCTATTATTTCTTTTTTTAAAAAATAAACCAACAATAATGTCAAATCTATAAAAATTAATCGCTATAACCTTAAATATTTTAATTTGAAATTTTATTTCTTAAAAAATCGAGTGTCACGTAATACATTGTTATTTTTTAAGGAGTGAAAATCCAATCGTTAATGTCATGCGATCAAGCGGAGTGAACATCCGATTACGCACTTAGATTAGACTTTTTTCTCCTCTCAAAATACGAAAAATTGTCAGAACGGAAAAAATGATGTAATTGATGTTATTTGAAGATCACTATTTTTAGAAGTAGTCAACTCTTTTTTTTTTTTTTTTAGAGAAGACCTGCATTTTTGATATTATGCGCTTAAAATAACTGCATTTTTGATATTATGCACTTACGTACTGACTTAGAGTGACTATCTTAAAATCCTTGCTTTGATTAAGCCACAGGAATTAAGCCACAGACCCTCAATTGCAACACCTCAAAACGAAGTATGTACGCACGTACTATGTACGTATGTCCGTACGTACATATTGGTATGTACGTACGTACGTACGTACATACATACCGTGCACGCTCCTAAATTTACACCAACCGCTAATTGACGCTTGTGGTTAGAAATATATTATTTATTTTTGCTTTCTTAAATGCAGCTTCCCTCTAAGTGCAGGTTTTTACTTTTTTTATATTTCTCGTCCGGAGGAATGCATGTAGGAAGAATCGGATGTATGACGAGTTTTAAATTCAATTTTATCTTCATAATATTAAAGTATTTAACCTGCTGAAATATAAATTTTTTTCCATAATTTACAACAATGATTTAAGGGTATTATCGTTATAACAATTTTGATTATTTATCTTTGATTTATATTGATATCCCTACGTACCAAGATACCCAAGATACCTCGGCTACGGTAAATGTCTGGATACATTAAATCAGCTGTTTACGATACTCAAGTAGGTGCCATGACTTATCTTTGAAGCGAATATAAAGATTAGATTAATTCGTTCTCAATTTTGGTTAATCTTTCCTAATTTTTTCATGTAATTATGACGATCATCTGTATGCACCAATGACCATCCAATTTCCTGCTTAGAAAATTATTGAATAAGCATTAATGATTTTTATGGTGTTTCGTTTATCGTTTAAAGCAAAAAAAACCGTGGTATGATCCAAGCTTATTGGTAATACAAGATCCAATGTGTCACATCGTAAATGTTAAATTTTTTTTTTTTTCTTTTTTGCCACGTCCTCTTTGTTCATTCTGAAATAATAGATTAGGAGAATGCCGCATTTTATCAATTTTCCTTTTGAAATCATCGTTGATATATGTTCATATATTGATTTATACTCACTTAACGCATTAGCACTTTCTTGCAAAGACTTGACATTTGTTCTTAAGCATCCACCTCTATGGCGCCACATTCGTTTCATAAATCTTGAAGAACAAATCCAAATTGAAAAACAATTTTTATCCCCTCTTAATTATACTACTTTCCAAATCCCCTATAAACTATCCCGTGTCGACGATAGGCGCGCTCGTCAACTTCTCAATATGTTACGAAAGAATAATCTGTCGTCTGTAGTTTGTTCCATAAACTTTGACTTCACTTCTATTAACTGTACTTCAATATGGGAATCCATAAATGGATTTCTAAATCTTGAGGAAATAAGTTGCCGAGGTTGTTTAAATCTTTCCTTACGTGACTTGGGTACGGCTCTAACCTGGTTTGAACCCTTAGTACCTGTATTAAAACTAAGAAAATTACATGTACTTTGGTGTAAAGACATGAGTCCAAAAACAATTATGAGACAACGTTTATATGTGAATGACGTAAGTGATTATTATAGTACCGTGTTATTCGGTTTTTTGAAAGCTTTGAGACAATTGAAAACAGAGAGGCCAATACAGCTTGATGTTGGTAATGTACCATTATTTACTATTTTATGTCTGGTAAATATGTAATTTGTTTATTCTTATTCTTTTTTTCTATTACATACTTTTTAGATACATGTGAAATATGTAGAACAAATGTAACTATCACCGTTCCATGCTCTAGTTGCAAAGTTCAAAAGAACTTTTGTGTAAGCTGTGATTTGGATCGTGGATGTTTGGATTGTTTTAGATTTTATTGTGATACCGATTCATGTAAACCATCGTCATCTTATTTAGATCCAATTCTGGCATCTGGCAAAGTTAGCGATGGAAAAAATATCGCATTATGTGACATATGTCATGGAAGTTCATGATATATTATGGATAAATGTCCGCAAGTTTATGATAAGCATTTGGCATCAATATTTTTTACAAATTATTGTTCTTTTATATAAAAATCCACGCTATAATATGGTATTCAATATGCTTAGACAATAAGATTACCAATATCTCTAAAGCTTTATAATACGTCTAGTACAGATGAATGCATTTAAATTGTACATACTCTTAATAATAAAATTTACTAAAATTCTCTATAATTTAAAAGGTAAAGGGGGATGGAGTGGTTAAAATGGCGGATTAATTCAGTGTTAAATGGACAATTTTGGACAGCTTTTCATATGCCAAAAACCTTGTCCAAAATTGTTAACTGTTAAATTGTCCAAAAAACCATCTTTGGATTAAATAATTTTAAATGTCATTAAATATAATATTAAATCTATATTATTCATATTCAATCCGCCACTTACTCATCCCCGATACGTACGTATAGTACCATCTTTACCTTTTATACAGCATTAAAAATTTTAGAAAATTGAAAATTTATAATTATGTACTGTACGTACGGTATATAATAAAAGTTGATTTTTTTAAATTAGGAATTTGTATTACGTACTCACAAAATTAAAAACCTGCTATATATATAACAATAATGATAACCGATAATAATAGTGAGATCTAAAAAATGTCTTTTTCATCAGTTTTTCGTATTTTCCAGCTGGCCTCATTCATAAACCCCCCACTATATCGTCCGCTAACTACAACTCTTTCACTACGCAATGACAATAATGTTCAAAGTGATGCTTTAACTGAAGGCGAAAAATATCTTTATGAGAAGCTATCTAAAAAATTTCAACCTACGAAGTTAAATGTTCAAGACATCTCTGGTATACTAATCTTTTTATTTAAGTTATAAATTGGAATATATTGCTAACGAAGTTTAATAGGCGGTTGTGGCTCAATGTATGCAATAGAAATTTCTTCTTCGGTGTTTAAAGGCTTACCAATGATAAAACAACATAGAATGGTAAATGAATTATTAGAAGATGATATTAAAAAAATGCATGGAATTAGGGTAAGCTAATACTTTGTATTTAAAATTTTATTTTGTTTTTATATTAATTTAATTTATTGTTGTTAGCTTATAACATCCGTGTCATAAATTTTTAAAAGTTTATAAGCAGATTATATTTGTAAGTTTATTTTAATAAATTGTTATCTAAATTTAAAAAATAATTTTTAATTAGCACTTTAATTTAAAAAAACAAATATATAATATAAAAATATTTTGTTGAATTTATAAACTTTAAATTAATTATAGTATATATGTTAAAAAAATTTAACAATATATAAGTTATATAATATTGTTTAGAGGATTGCTAATTTGCTTCTGGTGTAATGTAATGTTGTTAGACCTTTAGTTAACAAGTTACTTTACTTAACTAAGTGTTCAAGTAGTTAAGAAATTTGTTAATATAATTTTATAAAAAAAAACAGTTTATAGATAAAATAAATATTGTTGATTTATTGTTATAGTGATACTTACAAAGAAAGGTTATAATCAACAAATTTTATAAACAAAAAATATGTTTATTAACTCAGATAATATTAAAAAAATAATACAGATAAAACAAATATATAACTTAAGAAAAAATAGTTTTAATTTCAAAAAAAAATATTACAAAAAAAGAATTTATTTTTTACAAAAATTATACAAAAATATAAAAAATAAAACTTATTTCTAATACAAATTTTAACAAAAACAAAAATGTAATCTATTTTCAAGACTAAAGTATATAATTATAAGACTATAGTGACCAAAATATAGAAATCTCTTGTCTTGAGGAAATAGACAAGGTTTAAATATCATTTTTCAATATATAAATTACTATAAAACATACAGTAGCAATTAATTAAGGAAGAGTATTTTTATTAACAAAAGAACACTTTCTACTATAGAATAAGCATCTTTAAATATTGGATAGATACTTTTAAATAATAGATGGACATCTTAGAATGATTAAAATTAGAGATTAGACATTTTTTATTATAGTAAAAACACTTTTCTTTATAAAATAGATATCTTTTACTATAGAATGAGCACTTTTTAATACAGAATAGACACCTTTTAATATAGCAAAAACTCTTGCTATTTTGGGTTTGTTTGGCTTTGTTTAGTTTTAATGTTGTTATTATATAATTCTGGGCTGTCTTGAGACACTATTTATACATATATATTTTGGTTCAAATTTTATTTATATTAAATGAACTAATAATTTAAATAATTAAATAAAAGGTATAGCAACTTAGAGTAATAGTTAAATCATTATCTTCAGATGTTCTATAGAAAAGGTGGGTAATATAAGAAATAAGTTTTATTAATGATTAGTAATTATTAATTTTTTAATAGTGGAGTTGCAGAGTTTGGCTACCTATTCTATAGAACATTCTTACCTTCCAAGCAGCAGGTTTAAAGTTTAAATCTTACTGAAGATGTTTATAAAAAAATAAATCTGTATACTGATAATATTTATTCAACAATCGGATAGATATATTATCTGTAATCTTAGTACTACTATTTTGAAATAAAAGCTCTTAAGTGATCCAAATCCAAGGAACTAAAATAATTGAAATTTGTTTGGCAAGATCTGAGCAAGGAAGTAGTAAAGATCTTTATGATACTGTAGAAAGCCAAAATCGAAAACCAAAAAACTAAGCAAAAACTCTAATACAAAAAGGATCCACCAACCTAGCTACTGAAGTTGCATCAGATGAAAAGGTTCTATGCTATAGACTTAGGAACCAAGAGAAATAAACCAGAAAGCACTTTAGATATAATAACTCATCTAGGTTAAATAGTTTGATAGTTTGAGAAAGATCAATATAAGAACTGGTTTGAAGCAGGTATTAAAATTAAAATAAACTTTTTAAAAGCATGAATACTAAAATTATATGATTTAATGGTTAGTCCTGACTGCTAGTATTGATTTTGACTATTGCAAAAGATATTTGAAGCCTAATCTAAAAATATGTGGAATATAAAAAGATTAGAAGTATATACTATACCACTCTTAGAGTAACCTAGTAGTATAAAAACTCTATTGAGTTATTTATAGAATTAGAGCATAAGTAGTATAACACATATCAATCTGAGTGATCTTCAATTAAAGTAACACAAGATTATAAGCTGATGTAATTGTAATGATAATGCAGAATGAGGAACATCAAAGAGTTTAAATAGATAATCTTCTAATTAAATTACAGATACAACATATAGTGTAGAATCTTTAGGTAAACTACTTAAATAGACAACTAAAAATTATATATGGGGGTGGGTCAATAGAAATGCACTAAATTTTTTCTAAATAAATTTTTTTAAATCTTTGAACAAAAATAATTCAGCAATAACTTAAGCAAATTTAATAAATTTTTTTTTTAAATTAATTCTAAAAACTTGTAGAATTCATTTTTAAAACATTGTATTAAATTTAATTAAGCTTTTGTTGAGTTATTTTAGTTCAAAGATTCAAAAAAAATTTATTAAAAAAGATTTGGTGTGTTTCTATTAACTCACCCTATATATAGCTAAATATACTCTCATTAACCAAGAATGTATTACTAATATTTAATAAAAATTTGTCTACTCATAACATTGTAAAAATTAAAAAAATATATATATATATGTGATTGAATCAATAGAAATCAAGTAAATTTTTTATAAATAAATTTTTTTTATTCTTTAAACAACAATAACTTAACAAAATTTAATTAAATTTAATAAAATTTTTTTTAAATAAATTTTACAAATTTATAGAATTTATTTAAAAAAATTTTTATTAAATTTGATCAAGTTTTAGTTAAGTTATTGATATATAAAGTTTTAAAAAATTTTAATAAAAACAATTTGCTGTCGATATATAATAAGAATGAAAGTTTGTTTTTATAATAAAATAAACAGAATTGCTGAAAGAAAAAAAAATAAAAACAATTTACTTGATTTTTATTGATTTATCCTATATATATGTATATATTTTTAAATTATCTATTTTAATAGACAATTTACAATAAAGTCCTGCATTGGGTTTCATAGCCTGGTCTAGCCTGCAATTTTTTGTGAGCTGAATGAGCTTAAAGCAAAATTTTTTTATAATTGCAGACCAGGCAGACCTGAACAAGCCAGATTAAACCAAACTAAATTTAATAATTAATTAGTAATTTGTTAGTTAACTAGCGAGTAATTAAGTATAATCAATAGTAATTATATATAAAATTACAGTTTTTGAAATATGTTTATTTATATCTAAAACTTTTTTTTATACTAAGTTAATTACTTTTAAGTTTTTAATTAAAATTGTAAAATTAAAGACTAATACAAAAACTCTTTCTAATAATTATCTAGTCAATAAAAATCAAGAAATCAAACTATAGTCAGCATTATAGAAGATAGTAAAATAAATAATAAACTTGGTTCTACAGAAGTAGATGTGTTATTGATGAAGTACCAAGAGTATAAAACTGAGGTGTGGTCTACTTTGGACTAGTTTTGGTAGAAGTCAAGCTTCTTGTTGGTGGACTCCTTTACTTTTATTTGGCATTCAAACCAGAAGAATATTTTGGAAACACAGAATGCCTAGGGTGACACCAGGAGTATTACAAGCTTTATATCACTATACAACTATAAAACTTATAAGGAACAACCACAGAAAAACTTTGTTGACCCACCACTTTTTTTTCAAGAAAATTTTGTTAAAAAGTGAGCATTTCAGCTTACCTTTTTCTAAAGATTGATACATAATTTTCCAAAACAGTCAGTATTGTTTATCTGTTTATATGAGTCTGTAAATGAGATTATCAAAACAGAATAATAGATAGATATCCGGAATAAGCAACTGTACAAATTATATAACAACACAAATAGATTATATGCTTCGAACTGAAAAAACCGTTGAACAATACTTCAAAACTACTGGTTCGAATTTCAGGCTAACTTTATCTAGGTCAACTACAGTGTCTAGTTTTAGCTAACTTTTTTAACTTTTTTTACCCTTTAAACATAGTTTATTAGGATAGAGAATATTATAGAGCATCTTTATTTAGTAATATATAATTTTTTAAGGCTTAACACAGGCTGATAATTGTGACTGTCAGATTTTTTTTTTTTACTTTTTACCCCACCTTTCATCTTTATATTTGTTTTTTAGTATTAGTTTTCATTCTTTTCTCTCTTTTTTAGAATTAGTATTAGTATTAGTAGATTTTTTTTGTTTTTTCACTTCTCTATGAGAAGATGTTATTAAATTAGCAGTATTTTATTGTAAGGTAGTAGTCTAATATTGCTCCTGGGGTTGGCTTAGATTATTTAGCTTAGATTATTAATCTGGGTCATCGAGGTTCTTTAATGAAAGTTCGGCCCGGTGTAGCTAGTTACTTATAAGTGCTCTTGAAGTAATTGCAGAATGTCAGGCCTAAATATTAAGCTCAACATTGTATCATACTTGTAATGCAATAATCTTAATAAGGATCACTGACAAAACAGCAAAGTGGAAAAAAAAATTGTTAAGTTAAAGGTGTGGCAACTTAGTGAAGTTGATAAGTTGTTGCATCTCCAAGCAGCAGAACAAGAGTTTGAATCCTACTGGTGACGAAATTTAGAATTTATAGAATGTATTACAGTATACTGTATAACATCCTGAAGAGTGGTAGCACCTGTAACTTTGGTCGTACCAGCTTGTTCTAAAAGGCTGTATAATATATAAGTTATACAACTACGTAAATCTAGGGCTCGGGCCTACAGCATACAGAAGCCTGCTTGGCAAGTTCCAAGTAAAAAGGTAACACAGATCTTTGATAGTACTATATAAAAAAAATCATCAGCAAACTAGACATTAGCAGTAAACTAGACGAGAACCAGGTGTTTGGCAAACACTAATACCAACCAGACTGTGTATAATATGAAAAAAAAAGATTCAAACAGAATATTAGGAGATGCTCACTAGTCTCTTCTAGGCTATTTGAATTGGGAGTCTGGAAAGTAGTAGATGATTGGAAACTTGGTGATGGTCTGTAAAGTGGATACTGAGGTTT